CTTTCAAGTCCCCTGGTCATTCTTAGCTTGGGTCGTATGTTGATGCTTTGAACTGTTCGTCTCTTTTCCTTGAGTTAAACAAAAGTGGAAAGGGATCATAATCATCCCCCACACCTTGTCATCGCTTCATTGATATCTTAGCTCGCGTTTGTTAACGTTGATGCTTCGAGTTGTTACTCGATTTTGTGATTGAGATATTCTAATGGAAGAAGGGTCCTTCGACTCATCGACCTTATTTTCATGTACATATAGCTCATGTCTTGTGTCGATGCTTGTTAGCATCTTTTTTGTTTACTTTCTTGCACCTTTTCTTGTTCTTTTAGGTTCACCTTTTCATGTTCCCTTAGGATCACTTATTTCGTTCTCGGTTCAAGGTAGACATTAGGTTTGTAAACCATGCATGCTAACTTAGGTAGATGTTTCCCTTTTGTATCCAAACTTTAGGACCATCATTGCATGATAACATTAGGATTGTTAGTCTTCCCTAGACTTTTTCATTCCCCTTTTGCATTATTAAAACTAAAACTTCTTTTCTTAAGAAAACTCAAAACACTTAATAAAGGAAGATGTGAATCGTATGAACTTGAGTCTTGTGGGGTAGAGCGAATCGAATTAGACTGAATCTTGCTCTTCTTTCACTTCTAGACTTTAGTACAGTTCAAATCACAGACTCTTTCGCAACCAAAAACACCAACTAATTCAAACCTTCTTGTCTTTGGACTTTTTTCTTTTAAAACCTTTTTTATAAGGATGCGTTGTTTCAAGTTCAAGCAACCTGGAAATGCTAAGTGTGTGAGTGGCTGAGCATGAGTCTTTTTACGAGTTGTAAATCCAATCATGAGTTGAAATACTAACCACAAGGATACGAACATAGAATTATCCATAAAAAAACACACAACAAACCAAAACACTTGAGGTTAACTACGAGTGCCTTGATCCCCATTGCACGAGAGATGGTACGTACGCACAAAGGTTCGCAACCAAGGCAGGAACGACTAATAAAACCTTTTTCTTTGTATATACACTCTGCATTTATGCATTTAGATAATAAGAATTAGATATGAACACACCCTTTTATTAGAACAACAAGAGTGGATCTTGTGGTGTACCACGAACGTGAGGGGTGCTAATACCTTTCCCTTGCGTAATCAACTCCCTTACCCGATCCCTCGGTCACAAGACTGTGATTTCTCCCTTCTTGGGATTTCTTTGATGATTTTCCTTTCCCTTCCTATGGGATAAATAAATACTCGATGTCTACTTTATTGATTTTCTCTCTATGATTTTCCGCCGAATGCTTCACCTGAAAGTACGACTTGAGCTTTTGTGTCGCAGTAACAACGACCAATGAAAGTTTCTCAATATTCTGATAGCGTGTCTTAGCGCCTTTGAACACCTTGATTATGAAATACACAAATTTCTTTGCCCTGTCTATTTCTTAGACGAGGACTGAGCTTACTGCCTACTTGTTAAGAGGTAGAGGATTAAATGCAAGTCCTTCTTCAGGAGAGTGAGTGTCAGAGGAGATGTGAGCAACTCCTTGTCCTTGATGAAAGCCTCTTCGCTCTTGGCGGTCCATTCGAACTTCTCCTTTTTACTTATAGTGGCGAAAAAGGAAGGTTTTGTTGCATGCACAAGAGAGTAAGCGAGACTGGGAGGCAAGGCGTCCAGTAAGTTTTTGCACTTCGTTCACGCTTGTGGGACTCCTCATGTCAATAACCACTTAAAACTTGTCCGAATTGGGTTAAATACCTCTCTTTATCAGCATAAAAACTAAAATTATCCCTACTTGAACTGTAAAAGAGAACTTGGTGGGGTTTAGACCCATATCAAACCTTCTTGCTGACTGTAGGATGTCCTCTTTGTCGTCAGCATGACTATTCCCTTCCCCCATTTTAATAATCATGTCAATGACATATACCTCCAAATTCCATCCTATCTGATAGGATAAAACAGTGTCCATGAGTCGCTAGTATGTGGTGTCGGCATTCTTGAGGGCGAATGGCATGGCATTATGGTAGTAATTGTCATTATTTGACATGAAGTTGGTTTTGGACACGTCAAGGGGATCCATTCAGATCTGATAGTATATCAAGTAGGCATCCATGAAACATAATGTACAGTATCCTGACGAATCGTCGATTAGACTGTTGAAGTCCCCTTTGGACATGTAGCATTTAGATCTATGAAGTCTACACACAATTGTCGTCTATTATTGGCCTTTCATACAAGGACTATGTTAGCCAACCAGGTGGAGTATTTTATTTCAGTGATGAATTAGATGTTGGATATTTTTTCCACCTCTTCATCAATGGCGGCCCTTTTTTCATTGCCTACCTTCTATTTACTTTATTCTGCTAGTTTGGCGGAAGGATGAATTACAAGGCAATGCGATAGCTGACAAATTTTGTGTCTATAACTGGTATATCTGAGGGGGTCCAGGCAAATAAGTCAGTGTTCCTTCTGAGTCGGTTAACTAGCTCTCGTTCCTCCCCTACAGATAATGAAGTTCTTATCTTTATAACTTGATGGGCATGAGGACCTATCTGGACTTTCTTCAAATCTTATAGGGGAGTGAGGCATTTCGCCTATATTCCCAATTTGGGTTACCAACCCTCAAAGCTGGTATTTGGTACTTCAGAGGGGTGGGCATCAACAAGGGTGATTTCTTCTCTAGTTATCTCCAGGCTTCTCAGATAGAAGTCATGAGCCACTTGTTGATCTCCTCAAATGGTGCCTATTTGTCATCTAGGAGCAAATATTTTAGGGTTAAATATTGGGTGGATATGACTGCTCCTATGGCTTTGATGGTCGGGAGTCCTGGGATGATATTGTAAGGTGATGTGGTGTCTATAATGAGGTAGCTGATGTTAATGGTCTTGGTGTTTGCTCCCTCGCCACAAGTGGTTTTTAGGGTCACATAACCCATTATTAGTACATGTTCGCTCGATAATCCCGTCAAAGAGCCGTTAAACCTCTATATTTCGTCTAGATTCAGTTGTAATTTATGGAAGACGTCCTAAAACATGACATCAACATAGCTACCTGGATTTATCAAGATAAGCCTGATATTCTAGTTTCCATGATGAACGATTATCACCTAGGGATCATTGTTGTGATGGTTGATGCCTAGGGAATCATCTTTAGAGAACACGATGTCGACCTCTCCTTTTCCTATGGTGTTTCTAGGAAATCTGAGGGATATGATGTTTGTTGCAAACACCTGATTCGTGTATCTTCTTATGACGGCTTTGGAATGACCCTTTCTGGAGATACCCCCGACAATGGTGTTGACTTCATGGTGTAGGACCCTGTTAGTCATCTCGCGAAAAATGGGATGATAGGATTATAATGAAAATATGGCCTAAGTTAGTTTTACCAGGGCCATACGATGAGCGCCATTATAATAGTAAAAAAGTACAAGTGTGCATGTTCCTCCTACAAAGGCATAGATACTCAAAGGCCTTAGTAGGTGTATAACACATTTTGGTGGTGAGGGATTACTCAAGGCAGAGAAAATCTTTATATGGTGGTATTTGAGGTTGTTTAAGAGACCACCTCACGTGAGGTGAGAGGCCCTATTTGTGGCTGGTGCTACTTGGTTGCAGGTAGGTGGTTAGGTTAGTCATGTGTTATAGTTATAGTGAGCATGATGCTCTTTTTAGGTTATAGAAGATGTGCATAACTTAAAGTCTATCCCTTTTTCCTTGAGCGGGTGGTGTATTTATAGGGGTCTCTAGGACCTAGGGTTTCCTTGGAAAATTCCACCACCCACTTAGTCAAATAGTGGATAGTTGAATTTCTAATTCCAAGGGAGTCATGGGTTAGTTAATGACCTTTACTTTCTCTTTTCCCCAGAGAAATTTGTATCCCACGTTTTCCCATGTAGGGGCGAGGGAATACTATTGGGCGAGGCGATACCTCTCCTTTGGGCGACCTTTTATTGTTTCCCCTTATAGGGTGCTCATGGTCATTTCCCTAGGCAAGGGCTTTTGAAAATATAACACTACAGGGTAACATCTTCTTTCTATATCCTTTTAGTTGTTTCCATTTATTTATAGCCATGACCAATATAGGAAACCCAAACATTGTCTTTGTAAACTTTTCTAATATGGATTATATAAGTCACACTTCTTCGTAGACTAAAGTGATAAACTCATAAATAATTGAGGTATCTATTTTAGCTTTGAGATATGATTTTATAGAATATACAGAGAATGGTGATAATTATGATGGTGTGGGGATTTTTGTGGGTAAGTTTGAAGAGTAAAAGGGTCTCCAATATATGGAAGACCTTGAAACGAATATGGATGAAAAGGAGGAATTTAACCCATTTAGAGATTAATATTGTAGAAGTTAGTCATGGACTTTCCTTCATTTAAATTTATATGCCAAATTTGAAGATGGTAAGGGAGTACCGGGATGATTCCAAGGCTCGTATCTATTCTAAAGCCTTTGAGTGTTTGTATGCTCGAGAATCAAGTGATGATGATGTTAGGGGGTTGATTGAGTCTTATTCGTGTTCCAAAACTCATGGTTATGATTTTTTGTTGTTGATAGTGAGAAGAAAATGGTATAAAAGGGAAAATGAGATCTCGAGATCCCTGTCGTCACAAACCAATACCCATGGGTGGAATGATATGTCTTGGATATATGTTCGTCTTCAATGAGGTATCTCAGTTTGATAATGTATATTGAAATGTAGGCCCATATTCTAACTAGACACATTGCAACCACTTTCACAAGGAACCACTAGGAATTATACTTCTTCCGTCATCACATTCATTCCTTCTCTCATAGAGACCATCAACTATACACTATCCCAAAAGTGGGTTACAAAGTAGTTCTGGCGAAGTACTTTATTTTTCTAAAAAGAAAAGTCGAATAGATTCTTTCGTGATAGTTAGTGTGCCTAACCATTCTGAAAGATAAAATATATTCGGTGAGGATGGGTATCCAGACGCCTTTCTTAACAATGTAACTTGTATCTTGCAGATAACATGAATCTGTTGGGTCAATTGCAGAAATCTCTAGTGCTCTTTAGTGATCTAGGCCTTACAACTGGCTTGCCTGTTTGGGTGCCATTGGCACCTGTTGTTGCTTCTAATTTTTCTTCGGAGCCTCAGATGCCAGATTTGGATGTTGATTCGGCAGTAGTTGAAACTACTATCCTGATCACAGTTCCTGAGGTGGTTCAACCGACTATTGTAGAGACTGGTTTTTCTGCTCGAGGACTTTCACCGTCTCCTTACCCTACAAGAGGATTCAGGGTGATAGTTTGTCTACTCCTGTTTAAGGAGGTTTTTTTAAGCGGGACTAATTTTTCTGAGTGCGGCGAGCATGAGCCTCTTACTCCTTTGTTTCATCTTTCTGTTATTCTGTCATCCTGGGTACCTAGCACCCCAGAGGAGTTTCTTGTTGTTGTGGCTACTGAGGATATGGACTTTGTTTACAGCTGATGGTAGGAGCCTTTCTGTAGATACTTCTCGTATGTTTTCAGGGTCGGATCCCTTATTAATATGGTAGCTGCTGGCCAGGATAACATTTTGGGCTCTGGCGACCTTTCAAGGGAGATGGATGAGCTAAGGGAGAGGTGTGGGCCCCTTGTGCATAAAATTTTTGATGTTGAGATGGAATATGCTAAATTGGGGGTGAATGCTGATATGGTTAACTCTTTACTAGAAGTGGTAGATCGATATGGTCGATCATCTACTTTAGCTACTAAGATGGAGAGGTTTAAGGCTTCCCTTGTTGATGTGTCAGGTGAGAATATGGAGTAAGAAAATAGTCTAGAGGGGAGGGGGTGAATATACTAAAACCAAAAATTCAATCGATTTTTCAAAATGAATTGTCAGAGGTATTTTAGAGTTTGCGCGTGAAAGATTAAAGGCAAAATATGAGAATTATACTTGTATTGAAATTAGATCATGTTAACAATTAATCATGTCACAAATATCAAAGATGATTTAATAATGATACACAAAGATATTCAATTGATTGAGTTGGACACTCCACGAGATGTGTTTATACAACGATTCATTTTCAATGAATTCTAAACTCAATCGTTTCTCATAATTTAATCACCACTAAATCTTGATTATGTTCCAATTATAACAAAACCTAACAATAAGTAATAAATTGCAACCAAATTGAGTAAATGATAAACTACTCTAAGAATTGAAAACACAGGCATGTAATATCCTAAGAAAATTAAATGCAAGTGTAAAAGAGATAAATAAGACACTGGGATTTATTGTGCTTCAGTGTTTGTCCTTGCTTTGCCTACATGCAGTCTTCAATGGTTTCCCATTGGAACATGTATTATTCCTTTTATTTTTACAAATATTGCAAGAGTTCATACAATCACTAATCCACAATAATGTTGAAGAAAATAAATCCTCTGTCTAGATCTTAAATTGTATACAACGTAATGTTAAACTCTTCTGCATAATCTTCACTCAATTAGCGCTTAATAAATCCTTCAATATGACCAATCGGCTCCAAGCCTTCGTGTGTAGCAATCACCCTTTGACCCTACCGATTCTTTGAGCAATGAATTCTCTGAATATTTGAGAAGAACTCTGCCTTATCAGTAACCTTCCACGCGGTCACTACTAAGGCAATATGGAGAGAAGAACCTCTTTCTTTTCACTGGAATTTGTCAGCATCAATGACAAATAACCTCAATTATGCAATAACCTGAATTTTTTTACCCAATCTTCAAGAACGGGTAATTTCAAGACGGTGTCTCCCTCAATCAATTACAAATATCTCATTATCAAGATCTAAAATCAAAACAAATTTTAAAGAAGAAAGAATTTTGATTGCAAGGGTTTTAATCTTTTCAAAACTGAGAGAAAGTTGGTTTTACAGAAAAATCACAAAATTGATTATTAAAATTTTAAATTTTTTTCTGAAATATGATGACTAAATGATTTTATATGTGCTTGATATTAAACACAAAAATGAGTGGTAAAAGGTAGTTAGATTCAAATCAAAAACATCTCATGGTTTGAGTCAAAGAGCAAGTGAAATGGAATAAGAAGGAAACAAAATTTTGACTCATTTCACGCCTGATTCGAACCAAGAACAAATTCTAATTCGAATCAAAGACCCCATGATTTAAATCAAGTGAAAATCCTTATTTGAATCAACTTCAATAAGGTCAAATGGAAAATCCTGAAAAATTGTCTAATTCGAATCAGGTGTAAAGTTTGATATGGATCAAATCAAGCAAATGTGACAAGAAAATGCTTGATTAGAATCAGGTGTAAATTATGATTCGAATTAAAGTGTTTAAAAAGCTTTGGTTTTCCTATGTTCAATTTTATTTGAATCAGGATGTGTGCTTGATTCAAATCAAACATATACAAAATCTCAATTTTTTCTAGTTTTTAAATACTTTGAGATTTTTCTTAGCACGTAACATGAATCAAAAACACGTATGGTTCTTATTACACTTACTCATGCAATAGACAAAAAGCATCATGCAATTGACTCATGCAAGGGTTTTAAAATTTCCAAAAGTGAGAGGAAATTGGTTTCATGGAAAACCAGAAAATTGATTATGAAAATTTTAAAATTTTTTCCTGAAAAATGATGACTAAATGATTTTATGTGTGCTTGAGATTAAAAACAAAAATTAGTGGTAAAAGGTAGTTAGATTCAAATCAAGAACATCTCATGGTTTGAGTCAAACAAGCAAGTGAAGCGGAATAAGAAGGAAATAATTTTTTTACTCATTTCACGCTTGATTTGAATCAAGAACAAAGGCTGATTCGAATCAAAGACCTCATCATTCAAATCAAGTGCAAATCCTTATTCAAATTAACTGCAACAGACCCAAATGGAAAATGCTGAAAAATTGCCTGATTCCAATCAAGTGTAAAGTTTCATATGAGTCAAATCTAGCATATGTGATAAGAAAATACTTGATTCAAATTACATGTAAATTCTGGCTCGAATCAAAGTGTTTAGAAATCTTAGGTTTTCCTCTGTTCAATTTTATTTGAATCATAATGTGTGCTTGATTTGCTTGATTCAAATCAAACACATAAAATCTCAATTTTTTTATAGTTTTTAAAATACTTTGAGACTTTTATTAACACCTAACTTGAATAAAAAATATATATGGTTCTTATTCCACTGACTCATGCAATTTACTAAAAGCATCATGCAATTGACTCATGCAAGGGTTTTAAACTTTTCAAGAAGTAAGAGGATGTTGGTTTCACAAAAAATCACAAAATTGATTTTGAAAATTTTATAAGTTTTTTCCTGAAAAATGATGACTAAATGATTTTATGTGTACTTGAGATTAAACAAAAAATGAGTGGTAAAAGGTAGTTAGCTTCGAATCAAGAACATCTCATGGTTTGAGTCAAATGAGCAAGTGAAGTGGAATAAGAAGGAAACAAATATTGGGCTCATTTCACGCCTGATTCGAATCAAGAACAAAGTCATATTCGAATTAAAGACTCTATGATTCAAATCAAGTGCAAATCCTGATTTGAATCAACTCCAACATGGCCAAATGGAAAATGCTGAAAATTGTTTGATTCGAATCTGGTGTAAAGTTTGATATAAATCAAATCTAGCAGATGTGATCAGAAAATATTTAATTCGAATCAAGTATAAATTATGATTTGAATCAAAGTATTTAAAAGTTTTTGGTTTTCCTCTGCTCAATTTTATTTAAATTCAGACGTGTGCTTGATTTATTTGATTCAAATCAAACACACAAAATCTCAATATTTTCCTAGTTTTTAAAATATTTTGAGATTCTTCTTATCACCTAACTTGAATCAAAAACACATATGGTTCTTATTCCACTGAATCATGCAATTGACTAAAAACATCATGATCAAGTTCAAATATAACTATTGATTTATATATGCTAAAATAAATAACAAATCGATTCGAACTTTATTTAGAGATGTGCAATCATGAGGGAAACTCTAATTCTCCCCCTTTTTTTATTCTTGGAAAACTTTCTTTTAGAATTGAGTCAACTTTGACATAAAAGAAAAAACACTTGTGCTCCCCCTAAAACATTACACACAAACAACACAACATAAAACATATAAAATAATTCTAGACTCCAATTACAACTTCTCCCATTTGACAATATCAAAAAGAGATACCAATTCTATTGAGTCTAAAAACTAAATAACCAGCCATAAATAAATAATTCCAGATGAACACATGATCTAAACATCTAAGAAGAATATACAGCAACAAAGATCAGATACATAATACGAAGACAACCATGCTACATGCAACAAAATGCAAAGTAGACATGCAACACCAACACTCAACAACATACAATAAAGTGATTAAAACTAATATGTAAAGTAATATATTAACAACATAAATAATGCATGAACAAGTATACAAATGCTCGAATGCACATAATTAACAACACACATATAAAATACTTAAATGCCAACAAGAAAAATCAAAATATACTAGAGATGAATGAGTAAAGTAAAGAAGGTAATAAGCAACAATATATATATATATATATATATATATATATATATATATATATATATATATATATATATATATATATATATATATATATATATATATATATATATATATATATATATATATATATATATATATATATATATATATATATATAGCAAATGAAACTAAGCAAAATAATACTTCTGAAAAGGTTCCGATGACAATGGTTTTGTAAAGATGTCAGCAAGCTGACTTTTAGTGTCAACATATTCAAAAATAACATCCTTTTTTTCAACATGATCTCTAAGAAAATAGCATCAGATCTCAATGTGTTTAGTTCGTGAATGAAGTACCAGTTCTTAGTGAGGCTAATTGCACTAGTACTATCACACACACACACACACACACACACACACACACACACACACACACACACACACACACACACACACACTATATATATATATATATATATATATATATATATATATATATATATATATATATATATATATATATATATATATATATATATATATATATATATATATATATATATATATATATCAAATGAAACTAAGCAAAATAATACTCGTGAAAAGGTTCCGATGACAATGGTTTTGTAAAGATGTCAGCAAGCTGACTTTTAGTGTCAACATATTCAAAAACAATATCCCTTTTTTCAATATGATCTCTAAGAAAATAGCGCTAGATCTCAATGTGTTTAGTTCGTGAATGAAGTACAAGTTCTTAGTGAGGCTAATTGCACTAGTACTATCACACTTAATCATAATTCAACCAATTTTTTAAATCATAATTTAGCGATTGTTGCTTTATCTATAAGACTTGTCCATAAAAACTACCAGCGATTACATATTCAGCCTCGACGGTAAAAAGAGAAACCTTATGTTGTGTCTTACTGTTCAAAGAAACTAAACAACTTCCAAATGAGTGATAGGTGTCACTAGTGTTTTTCCTATCCAAC